ACCAGTGATTCCCAAAGTGGTCTATATCGACCTCCAGAGGTCGATGACGACTGACAAGGGGTCCATGTCAAGTGAAAAAAAATTTGAGGGTCCATGAAATGAAAATGCGGGTCAACGATAGTAGATCTTATATGAGCATGTCGTGATTTTTAATTTTGGCATTTCGTGAATGGAATAATCAACAGACTCTGATAGTGCCTATTTACTTACATTATACTTCCTTATAATATAAAAACATATATCTATCTACATTCTACATAATTTATAAAAGTAGCTGTGAAGTAAAAATTTTAGTAAAATTCAAGTTTTTAGGATTATTTTCTGATGTATGAAACGGAATTATTATAAACTAGCAGTTGCCTGCAGCTCAGCCCGCGTACGTAATTATTTTCTCTGCGTGTAAGGTTTTATATTTTGTAACAAAAAAGATTTTTTCCATGGTGAATTGTAGCCTAGCCTGTGTCAACTTTTTAGCTAGCTAGACCTCCAACTTTATCGAATCACAAGATCTCGGAGATTTGTTGCTTAGTTTTTACATGAAAATGTAATAAACTGACCGACACTACACTGCTACGGTTTTGTATACAAACTTATATCCGCAATTATAATATTAGTAGCGGAGTAGGGGTTTTATAGTGCACTATTTTATTCCATATATGTATTAATTAAGTGAAATTAGTATGTTTCATAAAATTGTGAAAGTTGTAGGCATTCGCTTTGTGGTCGCAATACAATTTGAACTTGTAAAAACTTGCACATATACTTATTCCGTATTATGGAATATCGCGAGAAAGTTTTTAATTGCTTTTCCATCTTCATACCTAGTGGAAAGGGGTTTCAGCACAGTTGCCAATTTCCTAACAAAAAAAAAAGCCAGACTGAACATTATTAATCGAGGAGATTTGAGATTAAACCTAACTATATTGATGCCAAATATTGATATTTTATTATGAAAGCATCAGGCTCATCCCTCCCACTAAAAGCATTTATTTATTGCTTAGTTATTTTATATAACAGATACTAAATTTTAATTAAGCTCGTTTTAATTTGAATTTAATTAATAAATGTATAAAATTAACATGTGTTTTTTTCTTAAGTTTTACACACTACACTTCACTGCAGTTAGAAATTTAAATCTTTCGCGGTGAGTAGCACTATACCGGCTGTCAAGAATACATTTTAAGTTGATGAATTCGCAAAAAATTAATATCAGGTAAGCAGGGGGTCTACCCGAAACAGAAAAACTTTGAGAGGGGTCTACGAGAGAATAAAAGTTCGGGAACCACAGCTGTATACAATAACAGGGAACTACTCCACTAAATTTATGTACAATGTTATGTACTTTATAATTACCTATTTGAAATAATTGTGTTTTTTTTTTCCTCCAGCTTTCAAATCCAGTAACGTTAGGCCTCCACCAGGTAGTGCAAGCAATTATGCAAAGTGACTATGCCAATGCATTGGGAATTCATGGACAACTTGTTGCTAATGCTAATTTCAGTGAAATAAGTGGGTTTATGCCCAGTCTGAAAGTCCTTTTGCAGACATCCTCACAACTGAATGTATTCTTGCAATAGAACTATGAATAGGGTTTTTTTTATATTTAAAATATATCTCTCAAGTCATGAAAATTGTATAATTATTATGCTATATATAAAGAATTATGTTTGGAAGAAAAAGGTTTTTCAATTATGTGTTGTGTTATTTCCTTTTTTTTAATTTTGTAACTTATTGTAATACTTCTGATGAAATTGTCATTATACATTATAGAAAATGTAACACTCTAAAACGTAAAAAAAATAATGAAAGCTAGTTAACGATGTAAGATTTGAAAATCTGGCAATTATTTACAAAGGATGGGTACACTCTCAAAATAATATGGTTTATATATATATATATATATATATATTACTTACATAGATTGATAAAAGTAACTTTTTCTTAATGTATGATAAAAACATGACATTAAACATAAAATAATTACATTTTACAATGATCCTGACGTAAGGAAGCATTCACGCCAGGGATGCAAGCCCCTAAAAAGATGATAGGTACATACCTTCTAATTTTGAAAAATTCCCTGATTACTGCACTGGATTCACCGTTAGAAATATTTTGTAAAACCTTATTCGCGATCTCAAAGCTCAAATGCGCCGTCTGGGGAGAGGATCGGCTCCATGTCTTAATTCCCTCTCCTCCTCTTCTCAGTTGTACGGGAATATACTATTTTTCCCTTCCTTAATATTTTTTCGCAATTTACTGTCCGAAATATTATGGTATTTTGACAGTTAATTATACGATAATCATTATCTATCTATCGTATTCATTATAAAATCAAGACAGAAACTAGCGCACTTCCTTTTCCTATGACTATCCGCACGCTAAATGAAAACATGTGAAGTGTTGTTATTGGTAAAGAGTTCTGCACTGCGTTACCTGTAGCCCATTTTGATTGCCAATTTCCAGAAGATAAAATTAACCTTGTAAAAAGGAATTACGAAAAAAATACTGAAAAAAAAAAGAGTCCACTTAAGATTGCTGGCAAAATTGACACACAAAATGGTATTGATGTGTTGTGTGTTGTCATATTTAAGCCCATGCCATTCAGGCTATTGAACCCAAATTTAATCTCATTAAACATTAATCCAAATGCAACTAGATGCTTTTTTAAAAAAAATAATTTATATACGTACAAGGATTAATTTAAAGAGTGCAGATAGAAATTTTTTTAATTTAATACATATTTCTTGATTTTGTATCTCCCAATATGTTATCATATATTATGTATCAATCAGCAATACTCTCTCAGGATATTAATCTTATGAAAAGTTTAAAATATTTATAAAAATGATTAAAATTTCATTTTAATGTTTTTTAAAAGAAATCACTTGGTCCAAAAAAATTTTTTTTTCTTCCTCTTATCACAATATAAGTGTAATTATTGGCATCAGGAAATCTTTATAACTTACATAAGAACATGAAATTAAAGTATTAAAAAGTATGAAATGGGAAGAGTTCATTTGCGCTAACCTTATATTAACCCTTGTGCATTGAACTTAAAATAGTGTTTAATTAAATAAAAACTGCTCAACTTTAATTACAAATTGCTTAATTATAATGCAAGTTTAATTTGGAATCTCGATGCTTTTTTCCTGTGATTCTTCTGATGTTGCCCTTTCCGTAGAACAGTTTTTAACAATTGTTTTCAATAGTTAATAAAATTCTAAAATAATCGGCAAACAAGAGAATTCGTTTTATAAATGAAGGAGTTTTATGAAACTTTTCAAAACCCAAGCCTCTCTTTGTTTTGCTTCTCACTCGCACTTTTTATTATCTTTTTCTTCCGCTCTATGAAAGTCGTTTACACTGTCAATGTTATCAGTCCTATGTAAACTGATATCAAGGGATCTAATTCTTTTATCACAATTGAAGAAATAACACATCAAATAACATAAAAGCCATAAATTCTATCTTTTTTGAAAGGAGATTTGTTAATATTGCAGTTACGAGAAATAAGGATTTTTTGTATGAAAACTTATATTTCTTTGAAAACTCCACCATATTTTTCGAATTTAATGAAAATGTAACGAAAATTACCTTATATATATAAAAAATTCACCCAAAAAGTTTTGAAAATAAATTGAAACTAATGTTTTGGATCAACCAATCCACTGGATCAACCAATCCAATGTGTTTTTCTAATAATGTAAATCTTCAGTTGAAGATATAATACACTTGGCAAAATAAAATAATTTCCACTAAAAAATATTCAAATAGTATCCCAACCAAAAAAGATTTCGAAATCTAAACTACCATCAAAAATAATTCCCGGTAATCCTAAATCTAAACTACTAATTGTATTACTCTCTTATTTCTTATTTCATGTGATTGTAAAAGTTGTGCTTTGTTGATAGATGATTTTTTACATATCCAATTTTAAACTCTGCAATTTTAAATGATAGACAACCAAATTTGAACGAAATCACTTAAAGAGTTATTGACTAATAAGTTATAAATAAAGACGTATTTTTAAACTCTCATTTCTCAGTTCGATCTTTTTCGTTCGTATAACTAGTCATTTAAAATTATATCGTTCAAAATGGTGTAAAAATCTACATAACTTACAATCCAAAAATTTTTGATTATTGTTAAATAAAATAGTAAATAATTGTTGAAATAATTTCATTTACATTGATTTATCTTTGAATATACGAAGTTCATAATTGTTTTCAAATAATTTTCGATTTGCTAGGATACTTACTCTGATAGGGAGACATACGCGAAATGTGACATTAATAAGATAAATGGGCCCAAACTTTTTGAACATTCAAGATTATTTTGACGATTGAAAATCCAAATATTTAAAAAAAAATTTCTTTAGAGAAAGCAAGTTATTATGTTTGATTTCAGAACTAAATTAATAGTTAGCACTAATTAATTAAAGTAATTGAGGTCTACCCTTTAAACAATTTAGATTTGCACTCAGTTCCCTATTAGAATACAAATTGTACAGTAAGCAGCAGTGTAAGCAGTTACTCGGTTTCGTTTTCAGTAGCTTTTTTTATAATTGTTTCTTATTATTTTATTCATTTATATTCGAAAAATTATGAATTGCAATGTTCATTCATTTTTAATATTCTTATTCCCTTTTAATTAGGTCATTTTAAAAGACGAAACACAAAATTTGAACGAAATAGGTCAAATTAGAGATCTTAAAAAATAGTATTTCAAAAATAAAGTTTTTTTTTTTTAAATTTTAATTTTTATGTTTTTAATTTTGAATTTGCTGGCCCTATATATTGAATTTCTATTCCTTACGATTCAAAATTTTCCGACCCTTATTAAATAAAATGACAAAAAACAAAGCTGAAAAAAATATACATATAAGAATAGCAAACTATTGTTAAAGAACTCTTTTCCCTATCCCTATCTGGAATTTCGGTTTGTTGACTATTTTCATTCTTAACAAAACTTTTGATGATGAAATATCATTCAGAAGGATTATACCTTTAAAAAAAAAAGGTGGAAAATTTAGGCGTCACTTTATTTGATTAAAAGAAATAGTGCCTCATAATGTTAAAAATTCTAAAGATTTTTTTCAGTATGCTAAGTAGTAAAATTACGCGATTTGCAGTTTTGAATACACATTTTAAAACCACACTTTTGTCTGTTTTTTCATTTTAAAATTTCCCCAAGAAACTGCGGAATAGAGTAAATATCCACCGTCACTGTCTTTGGGGAAATCAAATAAATAGGATTAAAATCATAATTAGAAATTTCTTTACCCATCTCTACCTCTTTGGCAATAGAGTTCGTTCGGGCGTATGGAAATCAAAAATGTCAGCAAACTTTGACGAATCGTTAAGAAGGAAAGCGAGATTAGAGACATCAAAATGTGTTTGATTGCCGGGGAAAACTGATAAGCTGATAGTTGAAAAGAGATTATTAGAAATAATTTAAAATTGCAAATGGCAATCAAAATGTTTTTTTTTTTTTTTTTATTACCGCTTTTTTCAATAGCGATATCCATTTTTTGCATAAATATCAATTCGAAACTCCCATTATACATATTTTTGTTCATTTTTACAAGGATTAAAAAAATAAGTATTAAGGGTGGTGATAACACAACACCATTTTAATATTAAAATGAACTTCCTGAAATTGATATAACAATTTATTGCTGTGGATTCTACATTCTCGTTTCAATTACCAATTTTAAGATATAAATATGATTAAGTTGATATTAAATTATAATAAATATAAATACGCAGTTTTACTTAATTTGAAAGCAGTTTCATTAAATTTTATAATTAGAACTGTAATAAAGTTTTACTTACCTACTACGGGTTTACTTACCTTAATAGTCACAAAAATATCAATTTTATAAAAAAAATTATTACTAAACTACATGAAACAATATCTTTCGTTAATTTTGATTATTTATTTCTGTTGATGTATCTGCCACTGAACATTCATAAAAGAAACTTACATAAGCATTGCTTAGTAAATAAAAAATACATTAAGTTTTCTCTTTCTTTTTAATCAGAATAAAATGTTCTTGGAGCTCTCATTATACCTATTCTGGCATTTCACCACTACCTCCCCAATGGGCTAGTTTTCCAACAATTGGCCATCTTTTCGATGAACTGAAGTATTCTTGCAGTTCAGGTAAATTTCCGATTCTTTCGTGGTAAGCTTTGAGGTTCGGAAAGTCATCCAAAACTGTCTTTGAAAACAAGACACAAAAATCAAAAGCTTCATAAGCCAGAAAGTCTACGTAAGTGATATTATCGCTGACGAGGAATTTTCTACGCCCAAGAAATTCAGCATAAAGTTTCAACATACCAGGAATGGCGTTGAAAGCTTCCTTTTGTGCTTCATCAGAATCTGTGTAAGCAACCTTCTGGAAAAAGAACATGCGAAGATCCGAGATTTGTTGTTCAACTAACGAGGCTCTTAGTTTTTCTTCTTCAGTTTCTCCTTCCAAATCATATACTTTAGCCAAGTACCTCAGAATTGCGAAACTTTGTGTCAACTTGACTTTATCATCGATATAATAAGGCAAATTTGGGAAATCCAAGCCTAAGGTGAACTTTTCTTTTTGCCATGTATCAGGATCTTGATACCTCTTGTCTTCGAATTTTACATTTTTGTAATGAAGTAGATACCGAATTGGTTCTCCGAGACCTCGTAAATCCCAATAAGCTAACGTGATTTGACTCATTTTTAAAAGAAAATGTTTAGAAATTTCGTTTGCGCGACTGTTGTCAAGGATAAGCGCGGATGAGTTTATGATGTCAAAATGATTTTGTTACTCGATAAAAGAGTATTATCCCTAATATTTAACTTCCTTCCCACTACGTCTTTATTTGTTTCTGAGCGACCTCGAAACAATTCTATTCAAAAGATTAGATGATTGTTAGTGTTTCATTTCGTTAGGATAAGCTTTTATAATAAAAGACTTTAGATAATTTTTTTTTGTTATTGAAGAGATTTTATGAAACGTAAAAAGTTATGTATTATTAGTTCAGATGATTTTCAAAAATGAAATCAAAGGAATAACTCCTCAAAAGCCTCTTCTGAAAATAAATTGATTTTAGGAAATTTTTTTAATTTAAAAAAAAACTTGCGTTAAGTCAGGCCGTAAAAATTTAACTCTTTAGTTACATTTCAGCGTTCAGTAGACCGACCAACGCTCTATTTTTACTACAAGTGTAACAATCATTAATTTTCGGGGTAAAAATCGCATCTTAATTTTTTTATTCCATCGTAGTCTCTTTGCATTTTTCTAGACTCCTTCGCATTAAGTTTTTATGCAGCAAAGCAAAATGCAACGTAAATTAATGGAATCCACTAATTTCAACCATCAATTAATGGAGCCCACTGTTAGATGTCTAAAAGGGT